TGAAACTTTGTTTGTTTCTATTTATTTTAGTTGGAATTATTTAAGTTCAATAAACGAACTGTAGAGCAGGCTCACCTCTTCATAGCTATATTTCTGTGACGGCAACAATCAGTGTTGTCGCGTCCACCAGATGCGCACTGGAGAATCGGGGATACATGTAGTACACCGCATTGACCAGCATCCAAAGCTGCTCGTATCTGCAAAGAATTATTGTTATACAAATGAGATTCTAGTGTAGACATATGCTTGGCCGATGCTAGAAGTAAATTTAAAATTTTGTAGAATAAGTGAAATTTTAATGAGGGAAATTGGTGCTAAATTTTTTCAGTCAGTATTTTCTTTATTTTTTCGCTCATCTCAATATTTCATGTGATATCGGGGAAGTAATTATACGATATGTAATTGGACGTATACTAATGAAATCCTTTAGTTGTTTATAAACATTAGTATAAGTGTTAGAGTTAGACATGTCGCGCAGCTCGATTAACAAACATCGATTTAAATTTACAAATTAGCTCATATTTAATATTTCTTGATATTGACTGGCAAATCGTTGAGTAACCATGGAAAATACATTGTTTTACACAATAAGCTAATCAATCTGCTTGATTTTCTTTATTTGTTGAGGCAAATTGCTGGTTAATCAATTCTATGGAATAAACCGTTTTGCAAAAACAGCATGAAATTGACGCGGAAATTGTTTTGAATCAAAATCCCAGTCACAACTTGTTGATTCTTTTAATGCAAAGAATGGTTATTGAGAGCGCTTAATTATTATCTTATATTTAGCAGTACCAACTGTTTTCAGAGCTGCAGTAGATAAGATCCAGTATGAAGTGAGATGTAAAATAAAATTAATTTTGAACTTTTTGTCACACGGTGTAATTACCAACATGTCCATAAACCGCTCACCCATTTCAAAGGCTTTTTAAAGGTATTGAAGATTACCTTTGCACCAAATAAATTTGCAGCTTATCAGATGATATTATTATGAATCTTCTAGCGCGCGGGTGCACGAGTAAAGCCAGTGATAAGTTAAGAAACAGCTGTATACAGATACGACTGTAACCGGATGTTGCAAGTTTAATAACCTAGCATCATTGCAGCACGCCCGTACAATTTTCACAGTCTTATACGTCCACATGGTACTGCGGTAAAAACTCAACTTGCCAAATAATTGTCTTTACACTGCTGGTGATAGTATTCATTTAACGCTGTGCTTTTTTCGGTCTACAATTGCCCTCATTTTTTACACGCTGTACTTTTAAACTCTCCTTACTCGCTGCATCCACAAAAGAGTTTTTATATTTTTCCAAAATCTTTCAGAGGTCCAGCGTCAAAATACATTCTCGCTTCACGACCAAACTTTAGCGCAACCTCTGACTTCAGCTTTATTCGCAACTTTAAACCCATCTAGCATGGTACCCGTCACTTTAGTGACAATCACTTACTCTTACTAAAACAGATGCAGTAACGACTACCAACTAAAACTGTCTTAAAGCTATTCAACTTTCTTTTAAAACATCCGCAATCACAGCTTAAGCTGCTTCAGAGTGGTTCTGAATGTCGATTTTTTAGTATCTCGGAAAGGAAGGCACAGTGAGACGAAGAACCTTCTAGACAAGAAGTGTAGACGGAAATGAGAAAAAAAAAGACATTTCTTCGTAAAAAGCTAAAAATTTTGATAGTGCTATTTGTGATGATACTGTTGTTGAATCAGTTCAACTAGCTCAGTGTATCACCAAACCAATTCATCAAATTTTTTTTGTCTCTTTTGAGGTTAGGCGATGAGCTTTTGGGTGGCAAACTAGCAACTTTTTGGATAAAGCGTTTAGGGTTTTGATGTTTAGCCTAAAAGATGTTCAGAATAGAATAAACGTTACTTTTTTTTGTGAAATATTGTAGCTGCAAAGGTTCAAACATCCTGGCGGAAGAAACTTCGACTGGCAACAGGCTAGCAGCCTTCTGTTTGCTTCTTCCAGTGGGACGCAGGGTTTGAAGTCCGGCGGAACGCCACACTGAGCTAAAATTATTTTGCATCACATATCATTCTGTTTTGTTTTCTTGGGTTATTGCTTGATAAAATATTTCTTTATTCTTGCAGTGCAAATTCTAGTCCACTGGGTTAAAACTGTTGCGTGGCCGACAAACATTATATGTAAACGATTACGTGGTGCCACTGAACTTGACGTAGGAAGAACTGACGTCACATCAGTTGGTTGCACTTTTTGTATTTGGCTGATTAAGCCGTTTGTAGTGTAGGCAGGACCAAGTGTTCGCAGCTGACTGGGTGTTGTAGATGATGGCGCTGTAAAATTAGACAACTGTTGAATAGGGGGGTTCTTCAGAAAGCGTTATAAAACAGAAACGGCATGGTTTTGGTTTGATAATCTTTGAATTCAAGAGGGACGGGGGAGGTTAGTAAAATGCAACGTCATTAAAGCTATTTATTTATTGCATTTTTTTTTTCGGATCACTTTAATGAAACAAAAACGCACCGAAAGGTTTCTTCAATTTTGCTTCTTTTTGCGATTTTAACGTTGCCAAATAGGCTCCAAACAATTCATCAATCCCTAAAAGCAGTAAAGTTTATACATTATGTAGATCAAAAAATAAGACAAAATTTTGTAAATTCGCAACATCATGAATGTATGATTACGGTCAAAAAAAAAAAAAAAAAAACTTGGTAAATTTGTTTTAAGCAGTTAAGAAACTTTAAAATTTAGTCATTTAAGTGATGTTTAAAGTAATTAAGCAGCTTTTCTTTTTCTACGACCGACTGGCTTTTGTTTAATAACACAGTAATTTAGAAGCAGCGGTAGTAATTTTGTTTAGTCAATGATTCTTCCCGTATGTTCACTGAATTTTTAGTTGTCTTTTTTTTTTTTTTTTTTCTATTATTTAGCGCTTGCGAACACAGCGATGAAAAACCAATATAATTGACAGAGGAGATGACAGCTTAAAAGATTCTTCGGCTCTGTTTTTAAACTCAAAGCATTCTTGAGATACCAGTAAAAGAAAGGTCGCTATTTAGCCGATATTTGGACACCAAAACAGTGCAGTGTGAAAGTATTGTACCCTAAAATTCCACTATTGAAGTGAAATTATAAAGGCAACTGAGGATGACCAAATGATGGTGTTTTATGCTATACTTACTGAGCATATGAGCAACTGAACGGACGTCAGAGATTGAAGTGATGAGGAGCGTAGGAAAAAGTGAGTTAAAAAACGGTAAATTTCTGTGAAATTGTCTGGAAGAGTAAACGTCAAAAATGCAACTGTTTTGCCATAAAAATATGTCAATGAACAGTCGGGCATCAATGCCAAATGATCTCATCTATAAATTTTAGAACTGTGAGCCACAAATATTTGTAATAAAATTTCTAAGCTAAACCTAAGCGCTTAGAGGTTGATGAAATCAAAGAACATTTAATTGTAAATTAATTGCTAGTGATTTTTGAGGGAAAAAAAATGAACTGTCAGAGCAAAAAGCTGTTTTCGGTCTGATACGCAATTATTTCTCGTAAAGTTTGTTGTTCTTTTTGTTGCATCATAATTATCAGCATTATCAGTAAATTCGAAGAAATGCCGAGCTGGAAAAATTAACCGTTTCTTTCCATTGACAATATATTAAGAGACGGGGGATGAGGAGGGACTGAAAATGTTGTTGTCAATTTTAATTAACTAATTTTAAAATAATTAAAAAAATAACCATTTCTTCATTAAAAAATTTTTTAGGATTTTTTGAAGAGAATTTGGTTAATAGGGGAAACGTTCAGTTTAGTTCACCAAATTTTATGAAAAAGTTAGTGCCAATAGCATCGGTATCGCAATTATAAAAATATTTGCGGCTACAGAATTATTCAAACTTTAAAGACCTTGACACTAATCCAGTTACTGCTGTTGTAGGATTGATATTAGCGAGAGTCAATTGATGATTTAGAAGGAACTACTTTCTTTTTTTTTTTTTTTTTTTTTTTTTTTT